TATATATATAGTATTATGTTGCTTTTATTTTAGAAATACGTGCAGACAACATGCTGGCAGCAACACATCAAAACACAATGTCTGCACAAACAATTACAGACATTTTAAATATTTGATTAGATTTTGCTCTGATGACTAAATGGTAATATTTCTCTTAATAACAGTTACAATGTTCACCAGTTAATCCTTGCATATTACTTGTGCCCCCTGCTGTTCAAAGCTTTAACTGCTTTCTATCGTTTCTGTTGATATATAGTTGGTAGATTGCAGAATTAATGTGTTTAAGTTTGGCTCTTTTAGTTTAGCATGATTTAAAATGATCTCTAGGTCAGATAGTTGTATTTCTTTTGAGAATGTACTAACTACATTAGAGATAGAGTAAGTAAAATAAAATTGTGCCTTCCTTTATGATGAATTACCACAGCTGTTTCTAGATGTTTGTCTCCTCCATTGATTTCAAATTAGATGTCGACATGTCTTAAAAACACGTTAAATAGCTTCAACCTACTTAATGTTTAGCATCATACATACTAAAAATCAGAATATATAACAAGAGACTGTGCCTCTGTCATCAATCTTCTCCTTTATCACTTGTTTTTACATCCCCACAGCCAAAATAAGATATATTCCAGGCAAAACGTTTTCATTGTACAAAAATGTTAGACATGTGTTGTGGTTGCTAAGCAAACAGTGACTAATAATATCTACATGGAAGAGGTTTGCATTAGTGCAGCAAGCCAAAGCACAGCATGTCTCAGTCTCTACCAATCTAAAGACAATGAAGGTTCACCACACTGTAATTACCCAACAATGAGTTTGTCAGTCACTTCTCATAAATATGAATAAGGAGGGATGGATAAAGGTGTTCGCTCTAAATTTGCCACGGTTTTTGACGTGAGAAGGAGAAAACGGCCCAGCATCATATTGATCCTATCAAAATCTCCTGAGGGAGAGAGTTTTTAAGCTTTTGTGTGTCAGTCTTTCCCTGTCATGGCTGGAGGAGTGCGGCATGTAGAGGGCGTAGAGGGGTAGAGATTGATGTAAAAGGTTTGGGTTTTTACTTTTTTAATTATGAAAAGGGTTCTATATTGTAGAAACAGCCTGAAGGTGTCAGCTGTTACTGTGACATGCAGGGAAAAGCTCAAGACAGTCTATCTATATGAAACAGAAAAATACATCTGTGACTGATTTAGTCACTAAATGTTAATGGGCTATGTTAAGATCACCTCTTCACTGCACATGTGTCACTTAGCGTCCATGGAGAGCGCTCTTACAGTCAGTAGGCTTGACTGTAACCAGTGTGGTATAATTACATTAAAAAGTTATTTTGTCATCAGAGAGTAGAATAATCAGTTAATGTTTATTTTTGTCAAGGAGTCTCCATGTCATCAAACCTCCTTCTTGTTTTATTAGAGAAACTCCACAGTTATACAGTACAATGATTGTACAGGCCTGGCACAGGATGGAGTAGACTTTCTGCTGAATGTGTTGTGAGAATTCGGTTTTTATAAGAGTTGTAGGAAAAATCAAAGCAGACACATGTTTAACAGCCCTTACATCTTTAATCGTTGTTAAGGTGCAGTAAATTATATTGTCACACAGTAAAATTCTGACCCTGTGTGTCACCTAAACAGTGGTACATTACAACTTATATTCATGAACTGTGCTGAAGAGCAGCGATTCCTCCCTAGAAGTGATATTAGTAAAGATAATTGTAATTAACAGAGGTCACACATGACACAATGAACCACATGAGATAAATAACCAGACAAAATGTCTGTGAAAGATCAGTAGTATTAGATATTTGGAGGTTGTTCACACCTGCAAAGTTTTGATTTTGTGACAGTTTTATGTAAAAAGCAACACTATATTGTATATATGGTTATATATATTCAGATTTACATATGTTTTTATATCATATTATATTATTTTAGAGCAGACTAGTTCCTGCCTGTCATACTGTCACACTAGCAGCCACATACAGTATATCAGTATAATTACTACAGTAACACAAGCCTTTAATGAAATAATAATTGACCTTGAAAAATACACGGTATCTTTGATCTACAAGTTTTAGAGAAAAAGTTAGTAAGGAAAATGTTGACATTTGGCAGGAATAAATTGACAGTTGAAGTGTGATGAATTATGGCCCATTTGACACTCTAATGTTCCGTGTACTTGCTCCGAATAAAGTTGAGTGGACTAAATGAATTAATTAAAAATATAAGAAGCCAAAAAGAGCCAGATAATTTAATTGCAATGTCATTAAACCAGGGTTTATAAAGGACTGGAGTACATACTAAAAATATTGCTTTATTGAATGTATTCTGTCATTGATCTACACCAAGATCAATGTCACTTTGCACACTGAACTAAAAACATGTGCAGAACAAATGGTGTTTAACCAGCAGTTGCCTGTTAAACAAACCTGATTTCCTTTAGCAAAAGAACTTTGCATATTTTATAACATTTCACACGTACCAACAGGTTTAGGGTGTATTATTACAGTTTTTCACAGGTAAATGTGGTCAAGTTAAAGCCGCTAACTTCAGTATTTCTGTTGGTTGTACAAGTAACTAAACAATATGCACAAACTGGACTTTTTAAATGGCAGTCTGCACATGGTGTACTTCTCTTCTCTGGCCAGTAGGTGGTGCTTAAGCTTCTAAATGGGATTTCTGGGGATCCTTGTAACTCTCTCTTCATACAGTTTGCAATTCCTTACTGTGGGTACACCCAGCTAAGAATATACCGACTGTATAGCCTGAAAACATATGTAAACCTGATGACCAGAATCAGCTTTATTGGCCAGGTGTGTTGGACACATTGGACACATGAGAAATTTGACTCCGGTACAGTCGCTCTTAACGTGCATGTACAATGCTCTTCTGCAAGGCAACAATTAAACAAGGTAAGAATGAGAGGACAAGAAAAAAAGAATGTGCAAACAAGACAAAATAAAATATAGTACTTATAAATGTTATGTGTTCCACCCCAATGTACTTTATATTAATTCAGAGGATACACCATAAAACATGCAGCAGTTGAGAATTATTACTTTTTTTTTTATTTAAATACACACTGGAAAGGCTGATTGTCTCATATCAGAAAAAATGTATCTACTTCTCAAATAAAACAAAATTCATATAAATGTGTATATCTGAATAAATGTTGGTTATTGGAGGGTAATATAATGAGACCATCCAAAAGGATCTACCTTGTGTGATTGTTTAATAACAGGAAACAAATTTTTGATTTCACAACCTTAAAAATGACTGTGGTGATTTCCTGTTTTAGACTCTTATTTTGAAGCCAGTTCCTGTCTCACACTCCTCTCACCTGCCCCAGCTTGACTCTTCCCTTGATTAACCCTCATTACTTTCACTTGTGTTTCACTGACTCTGCCTTTTTGACAGTGTGTTGTCTAACTTCCACTCTCATCCCGCTGGCTCTGGATTGTCACCTGGCTCTGGTCTTCATGCCATGCTATGGCTTTGCCACCGTTTTGCTTCTCACATTATTTGTTTACTCCATTGTCTTGTCACCATGTTGTAAGATGCAAAGGACTTTGGTAAATATTTGCACTGACCTGTGAAAGTAGAGTCATATCCCTGTGTGGAAATATACTTGATGTGTGTACTACGCACATTATGTAAAAGTAACGTTCAGCTCCAGTGTGGAAATAACACTTAATATCTTATGAAAGTGAAATCCCTGTGTGGAGGTAATACTTATCTGGTTGTTCCGTGAAATTAAGTATTTGTGTGGAAAGGTTTGACCTGTGCATTGTGAGAAAGTAGTTTAGTGCTTGTGTGGAAATATTATTGAGCCTATGTACCCTGAGAATCTAAAGTGTGGGATGGAAATAATGCCTCTAGTACAGAGACTTTCTGTTGTTGCCCATACCAGCTTGTGCTGTGCAGAGACTTTTCCCGTTGTGCAGAGCAGCTAATAAATCGGTTTTACTGATTCTGCAGTTTGCTTCCTGTATTTGGATCCTGTTCTGTGAACAAACTGTGACAAGCTTTTGTTCTTGTGGCATCCATTGTAGAAAAACACTTTCCTGAGTCTTAAAATATTTAAATCTCTGCAATGATAGCACAGTTTTCCTTCCATGGTAATACTTGATTCAGAAGGAGGCAGGATGGACTACATGTTTAATCCTAAATGTAATATCACCTGAGCGATGCCTAGATCTGGAGGAGAACCATGCATCAAGGCTGAAGCCGGTTGGATGACATTTGAAGTAATAATTGTTGTAGAGTGGATGACCAAAGTAAACTGTGACTACAAAGACACAACTGTCTGTAATTCGTCGGTACAGAAACCATCCCCAGGCTGTGATGCACGGCCTCACAACACAACATGGAGAATCAAGAAGTTGGACCCAATTTCTAGTTGTAAAGTCTTGTTTGTTTTCCTTATTGTCACCACATGGCATTTTAATGTATAATTAGCTGCAAGTGTTATAACCCACACAACCACCCTGAGTGTTATCAAATATTTTGAATAAGGATGGTGATGTGTAGTTTGTGTTATATAATTGTCTCAGATGACCCTCTAGTGGCTAAACATAAGTAGGTAGAGTAGCTTTAAGTTACAGTATCCAATCTCTGCTCATTCTGCTTTTGGGAATCAAAACACTATACATTTTTACATCTTAACAGCCTTTACTGAGAAGAATGTTTAAGAGCAAATCGAGCCCGGTTACACTCGGTTCATGAAATCCAGGACTCCTCTTCACGCCCCATTTGTTTTAAGACTGATTGAGAAACGTACTATTTGGATAATTGACAGGATATTAAACAGTGGAAGCTGTGACATGCGGAGGATGTTCCCCTCTAGACTCTTTAGTATCGATTGATCCACAGAGCAAAGCAGCAGCTTCCAGAGCTGAGCTGGAATGAATGAGGTATCTGTCTGTCCAACTCATCATCTTCCACAGCCTCGGTAGGCATCGGTACAGTCTCCTGTCCTTACTCAGGAGATGGGAGGGATGTGCTTTGTATGAATCACGCTGTCCACCCTGCTCAGACAGCGCTGCCTCTCCTCCCGGTCGCCCTCCGCAGGCCTGCTCCTCTCTGCTGCAGAGAGGGGCTTCGTGACGTCAGCCGAGGCTGGAGCGGAGAAAATGGGGAGACGACTGCGAGGTGAGTGACCCGCACATTTTCTTTCTCGTTTAGCCTCCTCTTCCGACCACATTTATGTTGTTGTGTATGCGGTGTATGTTTTTAATCATCGCTCCATTGACGCCGCTGCTCCTGCGCTACGTGGGGAGTAGAGTCCAGCGGTGATGTGAAAACAGGAGAACACTGGGCACATGTCGCCCTTTCCTGCAAGAAGTGCACGTTTGCTGCAGTCGGCATCGCTGCGAATTAACCCAACTCCGGCCCGATTAGTGCATTTAAGTCCTCCTTGTGGGCTTCCTTGTTGTAGAATGACATTTGGTGATGGCACTCGTCCACACCCACATGATGTGCAGCCTGTGATTGATCCATGTGCAGTGCCGATATGACGATCGGGGGTTTATTTTATTTTATGTTAAAGCTCTGAAACTGTCCGTGTTGACAAGGCTAACCGCTTGTCAATCGAAAGCATAATCGGCTTTTCAACCCCACAGGAGACTGATCGGCCTGTTTGGCCTGTGAGGGCTGTAGTCTACCCGCAAATGCTGCATTTAAAAAGATTCAGATGTGCTTCCTTTACTGCGCACTGATCTATTAACGTGGTCGTCTTACTGTATGAATGAAGCACGTTTATCATAAAAATGAATTTGTATCTTCATGCAGAAGAGGCTGTTCCTCTGAACACCCTTTGATTCAAGAGCTGGTAAGTGTCTAAGGGAATTATGACTGGGTAATGTCTTCACACACTAATAATAGCATGCCCTTGGGACTCCTCAAACTCTAGTGTGCCTCAGCACATTACTTAAGTGACAAACAGCCAGGTCTGCTGGAGTTTGGGAAACTATCATGTGATTACACTGCATGAGAAATCTGACTCAGTGAGCCTGTGTGCTGCTGTGGTTGTAAAATCACGTGATACAAGTTGGAGCCGCCATTCTGAAAAAGGACAGATACCCAAGATTAAAAGCAAAAGTGTGACTCCTTGTCTGCACAGTGACATTAGATGTATGTGCCATACAATAACTGAGCTGTGTTCTGTATCTGCACTGCAGCAGTGTACAACATACACATAGTCTGTGTGCAGCCCCCATGTCTGCTGATCCAGATTTTTTGATAGCACACCTGCAGTTTTCATGTAAATGTCACTGCAGACAGGTGGTTTACATGTGAGGCGAGAATTCATACTGATGCTCTGTTGCATGATCTTTAGCACTAAATACTGCTGAGTGAGTATGATGTTACTTTGTGTTTGTTTACATTCAGTATGCATGGCTTTTAGAACTGCTACAGTGACTCCCCTATTTGCTCCCCGTGATCCCAGTACACAGAGAAAACTTGTGAATGTGTGTTTACAATATTGTATTTGTGTTGTTTTGGTAAGATGGTTGTTTACATTTCTGCTGATCTTGGTGGGTTTCTGTTGCCTTGTAGTAGTCGGTGTCAGTTTTATTTACCAACTGTGGTTCACACATCAGGCAGGGATACGGATACAGGGTAAGACCTGCTGGGCTGCTGTCAGTCAGTTTATGTGTACAAGCTAGTAACACAGTGGGATTCACTTAGGTTACAAGCATTGAACTGCAGGTCCTGGTATTAGAAACTTGGAAACACAGGATAAGACTGGCAGTAATCTATTTTTGTTATTGCCAACAAATCCCTTGCAAAGAACAAAAGCAGCCACATGTCTCTCAAAACTGATTGTCCAGACTGTTTATGGCTCTAAACCTTAATCCTAGATGCTCCTCACAAACCAGTCCCAAATATAGTGTCATTGTTTAAAAAGGCTCATCTGGGCATTGTGCCGTCCAGCAAAGTTTATCCAGAAATAGTGTGTATTTGTTTCACAATATCTAGTTTCCTGTTGTAAATTATTCTGTTGTGGTTAGACTGGCTATCCATTTAACTAATCATTCTCTTCATTTGTCATAACAATGTGCCCATGCACGGCTGGCTCAGGCTGTCCTGTTATTGTTGAGCTTGCCTGTAAAATGGTGCTCATCCACCCATCGCTTGGAGATCAAGGATCAGGCCTGAGGGCATTTAAACTCTTGACAGCTTGTCTGCCAAAGACTGCACGTGATGCTACTATTTAAATTGCCATTTCTTTTTTTTTAAAGGTTTTTCAGGCCATCAAATAATCTCATGCCTAATGATTGATCAGATTTTATGAAATGCTCCCATATCTGAGCCCTGTTGAAGCAGGAGCTGTTCAGTCTTCACTTGCTTCCTCACTCCTCTACCAGCAACTTAAACTTCACGTCACCACAGGTTTAAGATTAATGAGTGTAAGAGGACCTCAGAGACGGTTGAAATGTGGCCATTTTCTGCACCATTTCCCGCAGTCGTCCTCTATGGAAGCTTTGTCCCAAGTCTTGTTCAAGCTAGCGCAGAGGGCTGTACATAAGAGGCTTCCTATCGTTCTTCTGAGAGGATATGAAATCCTGAGAAACTACTGTATCTTATCCAGTGTCCTGATCTCAGTCGCTTTGTAACGTGTCCTGAGATGACTTGTTGTGCCGACAGAAAAGGGCCTATGCCATCTCTAAGTGAGCGCTATAATAAATGTAAATGCTTTTTGTTTAAGTCACTAATTGTAACGGACACATTTAAAAACTTTGTTCGCCATCTGCTGGTATAGGCCACACCCCATTTCTGCCTACAAAAGTATTTTCACAAATTTGCAAATTCAGCTTTTCATGCTATTTATATTCTTGCCTTCGCCAGAATTATTAATCTATTCCTGTGCTTACGTCTGTTTATTATTAAAGCCTTACCTTCTTACCATTCTGTCCTTGTCCTAAGTCTACAACTGGCTCTTCCAAGTAAAATTATTCAGCTCTGGTTGGATAAGAAACAGTAGCGCTCCTGAACTGATAAATGTGTAAGCATAGCTGTCTGTGTTGCCAGAAGAGGCTTAAAATAAAGCCACTAAAAGCTAGTTAAATACTTAGTATGACTTTTAATTGACTTTATTTGTTGAGGAATCTGCAAGGTCATTTAGATTTTATTTATTCATTAGCAGTATTTGTCTGATTTCCCTTTGTCTGTCTGTCACACGAGATGAAGTGCTTTCAATTTGGTGTCCTTCCAAATTGTCGCTCTCCGTGTGATAACAAAAAAATGTGCTGAATCCTCTTCACCGTAAGTGGCAAGGTTTGCCCTTTGCTATCAGGTGAGTAGCCCCAGGCCCTGTCATGGGAATCCCATGGCTTACTCAGGACTAACACACTATGATATGCTCATGTAGGAGCTTTCACTAAACCTTTTGTAATTCAGGTCAGTAAAAGAATCTATAGGCCGTAGTGTAGCCTGTCCTGGGAACAGGTCCAAGCTCAGAAGGCTCCCCATCTATGTCGGCTGTAGGTAGAATGCTTTCAGTTTTTAGCACACATTTTATATTGATGCTATGATAATGTATGCAAAGCAAACTAGGGTTGGGCAATGTTTGGTATTTTGTCAATATTATCTCTTTATTTGGATGTTTTATTCTGGTATTGGCTGTGAAATGGTAACACGGGAGTGGGAGGAGCACATTTTTTCACATGAGAAATACCAGCAGTGATAACACCTCCACTGCTGAAGTGTAGGATGATGGTCGTGTCACACCTCTCATGCAGTCTTGGCACCTCCAGTATAACGTACAGTAGCGTACCGCTGACTGCCAGTTTGAGTTTAGTGTCTCAGCATCTTTGGTTGCAGAGGATTGGCGTGATGGCTGTGATGCAGCTTGAGTCACTCTTCTTCTCACACCTCCAAACTAAACAAATCCATATCAGAGCACAGGTGCACGAGAATAAATCTCACCCGACCGTGACTCCAGTATCAATCAGGTGAAGCTGAAGGGTGTTTTGCTTATAATTGGGGACTTTTATTAATTTTGAATGAGCAATGAATCACAAAATGATTAAATACAATATTCAAGAACACAGAACAAAGGTTGCTAACCTGGAGATAACCTCTTTTTATCCCACTCTGTCTCACAACTATGGGTGGAGTGCGGAACAATGTTTTGTGAAGATGGTGACCTTGTATTGGCTGATCTGAAAAGTATTTCACTCACTGAGATGGCTGAGCTTGCAGTGAGTATTGGAATAAAATATTGATGCACTGCATCTATTAGCATTGATTTGCACAGCTATTGGTTAACATCAGCTGTTACTGGTGTTGGCCCCTGTTTTCTACGCTTTACTAGACACTGTAAAATGCTGCCGTGTCCAGCACAGCAGGCCCAATCAGGGTATTTGTGCAGAACTGGAATAGAGCTCAACATTCTTCTAAATAACTGCCTAAACGCTGCTGTGTACACAAACAGTCAGCAACCACATCCCTGTAGTGCTTAAATTTAGAAAGTGCAGTAATTCAAGGAGACTGTGAGAATGAGTAGCGCTGTGGCTGTAATACTTTTTGATTTATATACTGAAGCCCTTTACGGTGTGCACATTTCCCCCGTGTATGCACCTACAGTCACCAGTGATGTAAAGTTGCCACTGAGCAGCTGGGGTTCAGTGTTGTTTAACGGTACTTTAACATGTGGTCAGGGAACTCAGTGTCTTTGTAGCTGAAAGCAAACATGTTTTGAAGGAAATGTTTTATGTTTAGTGGTCATGTGAGACGATCAGTCTTTCCAGGAAATGTCCAAAACATGTTTATGTTCAAGTGACGGAGCCCTCTGGTGGCCAAAGTAACTGACGGGCAAAAAGGAGAAACTCAGGTGACGTTTAACAGAGATGGTACCTGCATAGAGAAGGGAAGAGGTGATGGATGGGTTGACAAAACAAAGGGCTGCATGGGAGAGTGCTGTTCATTTCCCGTTTCCAGACATTTCCCTAGATTTTACCCAAGTACTTTAGTTCCCTGAACTACAGGATGCAAACCCTTGGCTCTGATGTGACAGTTGTTGTGCGCCGTTTACACCAAATCACTTCCTGGCAACTCTGGTGCAATTTGTAAATTCATTAAAAAAAAAAAAAACCCTCTGAACATTCAGTGATTTGCCACAGGAATGCGAAGGCAGATTTAATTGTATAGCACATTTCATACATGAGCAACCCAATGTGCTTTAAATAAAAACAAAACATTCATATAATGTTTAAAAGCAAAAATGGTGAACAGTATAAAAGGCTTGAAAAAATACATTTTATTACTCAACCAAAAAGCACAAGAAAAAGAAACGTCTTTAATCTAGATTTTAAAATTTCTTCATTGTGAGCACATTTAACGTCTACCAGCAACTTGTTCCAGATTCACGCATCATAGCAACTTAAAAGCTGCTTCACCGCGTCTAGTTCATGTGCATATGCTTTGATTGGATTGACTTTAATGCCCCGTTTCCATTTGACCATCTGAAAGCTTGTATTTGATTGACGGACGATGAAAATGAGCCGGTTAAGTTTCCCAGCAGAGAGTCTTTAAAAAGTAGCTTTCCATTAGAAGTCTACATAATAGGGTTACTCAGTAAACAGAAACAAAACAGCCAGTTAGTCAGTCAAGAATGTTCTTTAGCTATAATATTACTGAGACCTTGGCTCGTTAGCACGAGTGAAGGACAACTGAACATGGTAGATGTGCAGATACTTTAAGAAAGATGTGTAATATCTGTTAATGCTAAATACTATGCCAAGCAATCTGCTATATCATTAGGTGTCTGCTCTGTTCTGAGGATGTTCAAGTGGTATACCGTCTCTTTTTCTAGATTTTGATTTTAACAGCAGGCAAGTGGCAATCTGTGGCTTAACTACTGTATGTAGGTATTCATATTGAAATAAGTCAAATCAGTCAACAGAAGCATGTTTGGCAGTTGCTTTGATAAGTGATAAATGTTTTTCAAAATGGCATAAATGCTGCACATTCTCAGGTTTCATCTTCTCAAATGGCAAAGGTTTCTTTATTTATTATAATGAATTTGTTTTGGTCAGACAAAGCAAGAGATTTGAAGCCTGGGTTCTGTGCAGCTGTGCTTGTCTTTTTAAATACTCTGACATTACTGAGACCAGAGGAATAATTGATTAATGGGGAAGAAAATGACTAGATTAATCTTTAATGAAAGCAAGTGTTAGTTGCAGCCATAGTTCATAGAGTAAACCTGCCATGACTGAATTGTGGGACAGTGTTGATTTATGAGAGACATTTCCTCAGTATTTTTACTCTGCATGTTCCTGTGCATCAAAACATTCTTCTTACAGTAAAAGGTTCACTGCAGTTGGCAAGATCAGACCCACACAAAACGTTTATGTGCCCGTCAGTGTAAAGCCTCAGTAACCTCTGGTTCCACCAAATTTTTTTAATTTTCCAAAATAAATCCAGATATTTAAGAAAGTTAAAACCCCAGAATTAGATGCTGTGTAAGATTAGACTCCTGATGGCTGTTTGATGCTGGTAGAAAACAAGGAGACATCAGTGTATATATATATGTCTTACTGTATTTATGAAACATGCCGTCTACTCACTAGTAAAGTTTTAAAGACGGTCCCCACGATATCTCAGCTGAGCTCCATTGACAGGATGTGAGATGTGGCTGCCAAAGAGTCTCACTTCCTTCTATTTCCTGCCTGGTTAAATACTTCTTAGTAATTTTAAGCAGATGGGAATGCCTGCTGTCTGCTGCATGTGACTGTATGTGAAATCCTCCTCCTTTAATAAATGGCCACGTCTTGCCAGTACACTCCCTGATCCAGCCTCACCAGACTTCTAACAACAGTCTCAATGACTTGTGGGAATTTCCACTGTGAGGAATGGCCTGCATGTGTGATTCGCCAATGTCTGTGCCTACTGCCTTAATCGCTGCTGAGAGAGAAATTTTTCAAGTCTATTGTTGTTTAAGCTCCAGTCTTAGATCGGTATAAGAGCCTAAATGGTCCAAGTTGATATACACACTACTACACAGGCTGCAGCTTATATGTGGACTCAGACTGAAAATAGTTGTACAACAATCCAAGTTCTGCACTTTAGTGAACCTTTACCCACAGGGTTGCTAATAGTTTGACAAAGGCGGTTTACAGAAGTGATTTATTTGTTGGTTAATGAGGTTTCCATTCACTATTTATCAATAAATAAGGGTTTTATTTTTATTGCTGGGGTGACACTAAACATGGAGCTAAATTGTCCAGGTGACTTTACACCAGGTCACAGACATTGTTTGATGCCCATCTAGTCAGAGACACTTGCACCACTATAATCGGCCTCACTGAAGAGCTCAGGTTTTTAACAGCAGTGGTATCTGAGCCTGAGGTAAAGATCTTGAATAATATTGCTCAGTACAGTGCAGAGAATTGCACTTTAGAGGACCTGATGTAGGGCGGCCAATGAAAGCTGCCAGTAATTAGCAGATGGAAATGCTAAATATATTTTAAAAAAACATCCTTTTTTGTAAATGCAAGATTCACTTATTTACAGATGTGTCATTGGAAGAGTTGAGTTGCATGGCTTGTTTATATGATATAAGGTAGGATCTGAGGGTTACAAGGAGCTTCAGAAGGCAACGCTGGACTAGGAGCCAACTGGGATAACAGACAGTGGAGTTTATTTCTTGGTGCGTTTGGAGCATTGTCAGTGTGACCTTGTAGACTTCAGACTGGAAAATGATGTTGACGCTAACAAGCACTCTCACTAATGGATTCTCTTCCTTTCCCCGACTCTTCCCTCTTGTCTTCCTGTTTTAATTCACGGTAGAAGTACAGGAGTTTGCTCAGTAACCCCTGGTCAAATATAGGTGTCATGTTTCTTGACCACTAAACTTATAGATCTATATTCTGACATGACCTGATTGAGCGTTCAGACAGAGGAGGCTGTAATGACTGCTGTGTCCACACTGTAATAAATACTGAGGGATGGAGTGCTACAGTCGGGGGGTGCAGGAAAGTATTCCCGGTGGTGGTGGGAGCTGCTTGGGATACACATGCACAAATGTTTTGAATAAAATTTGTGTAGAAACAATGTATATTGCCTTACGTAAAATAAAATTAGTCAAAATTGTTATTGTTGCATGCTACTGTATATGTTTGGATGTTTTCTAAAATTAACAGTGTGTATCACCTGCAGCCAACACCAGGGGGGTTGCAACCCTGGCAGCACCCCACTTTCCACGCTAGTGGAGACAATGAGGAAACTAGGCTGTATGACTATAATCTGGATTACTGACATCTTAAAGCAAAAATGGAGCCCCTCACAATTTCTTTTTAGCATTTGCCACCCACTGAAGTGACAGTTTGTACTTGCATATGTCATAATAAATTATCTTGCAGCCAATAGTCAAGTTTTAGAACATGCATCTTAAATGCTAATATCAGGCTGTTGACTTATTAAAATGCACTGTGCTCACTGTTTGACAATGATCATGGCATCTACATTTTTATTTGTCTGGTTCCTCTTTGTTTACATCTGGTTCACACAAGGTTAGTTCTCTTGTTCTTGAGTAGAAAAAGTAAAGTTTCAGTCAACAGTGGTAGGAATCTGTAAATGTTACAAGTAGCCAGATTTACTTGGCCTCATCATGGAATAATGGAGTGTTTTTATAGAAAGGTTTCGGCGTGCACAGAATATATTGTTGTGCAGTTGCACTAGCATTAGTCTTTGTCTTCAGTTTTTGCCAGCAGTTTACTTTAACTTCATTATGTTCCATTAGTCTGACTCTGAAGCTCACTTGTTTTCTCCTTTCTCTTTTAGGATCTCAGGCAGGGGAACTATGAAAGATGAAGTGAAATGACCAGATGAATGTTGCCACCGTGTGTGGTCATGTGACTGAGCCAGACTCTTCCACGTGGGATTTTTCTTCCTCCTGACTTTCTGTAGCTGCCCTGTTTTCACCATGAGAGGATCTGTCAGGTGCTTGACCTCTGTGCCCTCATACTGGCGCTGCTGCTGTTGTGCTTCGTGAGCACCCCCTCTCCCCAGGCAGCTGCTGCACGGAATGGCCTCTCTGGACCTGCCATACCGCTGTCCTCGCTGCGGGGAGCACAAGCGCTTCCGAAGCCTCTCGTCCTTGCGTGCACACCTGGAGTACAACCACACTTACGAGACCCTCTACGTCCTCTCCAAGTCCAACAGTGTATGTGACGCTGCTGCTCTGCTACCCCTAGTGGCTGAGGGAGCTCTCCTCACGCCTGCAAACAAAAACGACCCTTTTGAGCCACTGCGCCCTTCAGCTTTAAAGGAGCGGCATTTCCCTTGCCGTGAGCTTCCTTGTGCGGATGACCTGAGTTTGACCCCGGCCAACTCTAGCACTTCAGCTCGGTATATTCCCAATGTGGAGTTTCCCCTGGGGGACATTTTTATGAAGAAAGCCATGACATCCACAGACCCGGGCCCCCATGGAAACCCCAGCACTGCTGTAGCAGTGGCTGCGCTAGTGCAGTGGAGGCGGCCTATGAGGAAGGTCTGGCCAGACTTAAGGCGCGGGCGTTTGAAAGGCTGGAGCTGGAGGAGGGGCTGGAGAAGCTGTCTGAAGAGGTAGTTATGCGTATTTTGGTTCATATGTTATTGGAGACAGCTTTGACGTCCCCAAAGCCACTATAGGTAGATGTTGACCATGTCTGGCTTTAGCCCTCGCCAGTGGTTATGTCGAACTCGGAGGATCCAACCTAGAAAAATTAAATGTGAAAATGAACAGGAAAGAAGCAAACCACCAATGTTCAAATGTTATCAGAGTGATCTGTAATATATTATAATGACTTACAAATTTCACCTATAGTGACTTTAATAGAAGAGTGTTGCAATTATGACCAAACAAGAGGGAAGGTGAACTGTTTAGTCACCTGACAATGCATGAGAAAAATGCACATTGTCAAGGAGTAATGGTGATTACTAGTAAAGGCAATACAAGCCATGTAGAATACAATAAGGTGCACAATTTCATCTTTTGCGTAGTGTTTGAAGTAGTGCACTCACTTCTGTCTCTAAAGGCTGGAAGTTGTATTGCAACAGCTGCACATTCCAGAAGGAGAAAGACCTGCTGCAATATGGCTGCCAGCCGCCAGTGCTGAAAGTATTAGTCACGTACAAGCCCTCAGATTTCCCATTTTTTATTTCAGATATTTGTATTTTCATTAAGGAGTTTAATGCCTGAAATGGGTAAGTTGTTCAGATAGGATTTGTGCAGATGAACATCAACTGCTAACAGCACTATTCCTGGCATTCTTACTCTGTCGCTGAGCTCAAGGTTCTGGAGGCAGAGAGAAAATGAATGAATTTGGCACAAGCAAGCACTTAAAATAAATCCTACAGTTGATCAGAAACAATGGAGAAAAGCTTAAATAACGTCTCATCTATAAGGAGCCCAGCACCACTATGGTTAGTATGTTCTCTGCTGACCAAATGAGGATGTAGTGAATATCAGTAACGGTATGCATAGTTTGAGCAGATGGAAGTTTTAATATTGGTGTTATTTTTGTTCTAGGTTAGAAGATGCATGATCTCACCACTGATTCATGCTTTTTTCCACACTTAGACTTTGTCAGAGAATAAATTTATATTAAAGGTCACATTTTCAGAAAAAAGAACCAAGCTGTTTAACAAATGTGACTGACCATGTATTGCCAGATCCTGTGTTTCTGATTTAAATTTGTTGGATCAAAGTGAAACTGATTTCTCTGAAATCAGCAGCGCTTTCAAATATGGAGGCAAGTTATGGACATGTAAGGTTGTCTGACTGAAACCTCTGTAAATGAACATGTGAAAAACTGAGTGTTAAAGGTATAAAAGCTTGTATTTGTTTCATATAACATGGTGATTATGGCAGCATATACAGAAGAACCTCTTGTCTTGCAGGTGGAGCAGAAAATTGCAGCCCGTGTAGGCCGTCTTCAGGCAGAGCTGGAGAGGAAGAGCTCCGAGCTGGAGCGGGCCAAGCAGGAGAGCGAGCGGCTGAGCCAGGAGAAACAAGACCTGGAGAACAAGGCGTCTGAGCTCTCTCGGCAGGTGGACGTCTCTGTGGAAATGCTAGCTAACCTCAAACAGGATCTGGTGAACAAAGAGGCAGAGCTCAACCACAAACAGCAGTAAGTGAACTACACTTCTGTAAATGTAAGATGTGTCAAAATTCCATGCCGCACAAGAAATCTAAGCAGGTTTGCTTTAGTAGGTAAAGTGTTCCCACAACGCACAAAGGAAGTGGAGGGTGAGGTGGTGGTAGTCCACATAACATGCAAGGAAGCTTGAAATAATTTTAAATACCCATGTTTCCATTCCAGACTCCTCCTAACTGTGGTTCTTAACACATTGTCATGCAAACAAACACTCGCACAGACTGTACTCACCTTCACCTCTACCTCTCTTTTGATAGTGGAACTTTCACTCGCATTCACCCACCAGATGTGGTCTGCATCTGTCCTGCTGCCGTCTTCATATGCCAGTGTCCTGCAGGGCCCCTTAGCTGCTCATGCTGAATGGAGGATTGGACAGAAGCAGCTGGGCCTGCAGCAGATATGTATAGCTTCTGCCCTGCAGCTCAACCCTGTCAGGCCAGTCCCTCCATAAAGCTACCGTGCTGCTTCACAACTAGTTAAAAGTATGGCTGCTGTAAATAGACGGAGTACTTGGATATAAATCACAGTGCTGTGATTATTGCTGGCTCCGATTCAGAGGGACATGGCTTGGAGCTCTCTCCCACAGCACTGCACAATGACTAATGCTGGTTTTATTTTTCAGATTTTCAGAGCATTTATTGAAATTAATCCCAGAATGATTGTGTGTGTTCCAGATACTGATGCTGTTTTTACTTTGGCATGGTAGAATAGACCATAAAATATATATATATATAGTGTTTATGGAGGAGAAGTCCTCTACCATATTTTACAAAATGATTTACCCTTTTCCTGTTTGACTAATTAGATTTTTTAAAGATGCATAAAAATACTCTACCAATGTCACGAGTTGTCTAGTTTCATTATTAATAGGATGTTTTCCAAAGGGGAATTATGAGGCAGTAATTTCCAGCGGGTTCTGGAAACAGAAGAATACAATAGATTGGTAACATTATGTTAATTACAAGGGGACAACTTAGTAGAAGCATTTTATTTTCAAATAGCTCAGTAAAGGTAATTCATAAATGTATAGTTTAAGATGTTCTGCTTTCATAGCCTCTGCAGCCACAAACACAAGCACCACTGTTTGATGTCTATTTGTTAAAATAAAGTGTTGACAATTATTATTCAAGGCTTGTATTAAAGTCATCTGGAATCTGTACCGTCTGTTTATCGGGCAGGACAGCCAGCCAGCCTCATCTCCCTGTCGTCCTCTTGGCTTCTATCACTTCTGCTCGGTCTCCTTATCAGGCCTGAATGTCAGCAGTGGTTCAGAGACACAAAGGCACTTTCCAAGGCTTCTAATCTCATCACAGACATACAACTGCACACATCTCTGCACCGCATGTCTGTTTGTTTGTGTGTGTGTGTGTGTGTGTGTGTGTGTGTGTGTGTGTGTGTGTGTGTGTGTGTGTGTGTGTGTGTGTGTGCGCTGCTCACTGATCTCTAATAGAGGCATCAGCACAGCAGACATGTAGGTTACATATCTGTGTAATGGGTATTGTGTATTATTAGTGAGGACTTAATCTGTTGGTCGTACACGGCTGCAGCTGTTCATTTTCATTACTGACACAACTTCTGACTGTTTTAGAACAACTGTTGGTCTGTAAAATGTCAGGTATTGCTGGAAAAATACCCATCGTGCATAGCCCAAGGTATGCACGATATTTGGTATGATTTTAATGCCTTGTCTTTGTTTTGCTCAGAAAACTTAAGATAGAAGATTTGCGACACAGGGGTCAACAATGGCAGCAGATCACATGACGTAGCTTTATAACTCCAAACAGCTGATTTAGATCCATTGTCTTATGTATCAGAGGAATTTATCAGCAAATTAGCACTGACCTGAGTCAGTTATTTACATAGCATGTACATACAGTATCTACTGCAATTAAAAGCAGTGCTAGTAAATAATATTGTATTGGAGTAAAAAATGTTTGCTATTGCATAGTCTGAAGACAGAGACAGCTCGGCATTAAATACAAGCTGAAACAGTTTCATTGGGTTGAAGGAGCAGGAGATGAGTGTACTTTTCTTTTATTTAGTCTCTCCTCTTTCTTGTAAAGGTTGCAGCCGTGTATCTGAAACTTGGCAGCATCAGATTCTGAAGGTCATATTCTTCTTGCTGGGGCTGAGTGACTGCCTCCTAGCTATGCCAGCAGCAGCCCAGTCTCTCCCTTTCTCTCACACTCACTCGAGGAGAAGCTGGCAGTCCAACAATAAGCTCATTCAGACTTTCAGAGTAGGACCGAAGTGGAAAAATAGCATCATAGTTGGTGTATGCTCAGCAGCGTTGGTGACTTGGCAGTGGTTAACAGACAATAGGCTCAAACACGTTTGCCTTACGACCTTCTGCTACCAGGTGATTTAGATTTGTAAACACAGATTTTGGGGAACCTCTGAAACTCTCAAACATATGGAACATGTTGTACACCAGTCAAATACTAAATATTTGTCTCCTAATGGACTTTGTATGCAACCAGAGGAAACTCCTGTGACACAGCTTTTGCTGGTAGCAGGGGCATGCGTAAGAGTGTGATACTGGTCATGTATTCTGCACTTAGGGAATTACGGACAGCATACGAAACACCTGAGATAAAGTTATCCAGTTCAGTCTCAACAGGATGCAAGTCAGTTTACAACAATGCACACTGCATGCTCCTATACGTATTGGTAACGGCCACACTACACTGTAGCAATCAAAACTAAAGAGAATCCCTGAAGCCTGGATGTTGGGTTGGTTCAATAGCAGCTGGAATAAACGAGAGCAGCTGTAATCAGCAGAAACTGGAGGCTGAGTGGAAGATAGTGGGATGTTATTTGCATCATTTCATCTTGTTAAAATTCACTCCTATTACACAACAGCCTCAAGGTGTTAGTCAGAAATGTGTCGAGTACGGTTATAATCTTTGCTACCATTAGTGATTGCTTGATGACCTGCAGCAAGGTTCATTGTG